CTTTTGTGTGGGAGGTTGGACACATGTACTTTAGGATAACCACAGTGAAACTGTTTTCAGAGTAATATTTTTTGGTAAACATCACCCCTCACCTCATTTGACTGCCACTGCGTCTCTCTTGATCAACAAATTGATTGCAAACAGAAAAGATTTCGGTCCAATAACAAACGAGCTACAGAGGAGACTGATCGTGAAATACTGAAGAGTAATGAATACAAGATTGAGATGTTAAGCATTACCAGCATCTCTCTAGAGTTTCTTTGTAAGTGGATTTTAAGGGGTAAAATAATTTTATTGGAAACTAAATTTCAGCCCTAATCCCTGCAGTGGAAACTCTAAAGGAACCTGGTTCTGGTGATAGAAACAGGGCTTTCTTCTGACAACATTGGCAATATGGCAATGCAATTATCTTACAATAAATTTTCTGTTAGTATTTTGTTTTATATTTTGTTTTGTATTTTCTAATACAGGCCTCTTGTCCGGTTTCATAACAGCAGATTTCCTCCTTGTTTGCAGATGAAGCCGGTGCAGAGATGTGCTGGTTGAGGCAGTTTTAGGGAAACTGATGTTCTTTGCCTGTTATGGACCGCACGTTGTTTCAGTCCAAGAGTATGTCTGGTTTTTCATCAAATTCTTTAGTGCTCTTCTTTGTGTCTTGTTTGCATTTGAATGCCTAAGAAAGCTGTACTTATATACTGCAGTCAGTTTCATCTTGTGCCTTGTGTTTGTGGGTGTCTGGATGTCCAGTGCTTTTGGTTTTATGGCCAGATATGCACTTCCAGTACGGGCCTTTAGCCAACAATGTCAGAGAAAATTGGTAAACCTCAAGATCAGCTCAGTCCTGACCTGCTGTCAAAATTCTTTTGGCTCCCTTCTCTCAACCTGGCAGCATTTGCAGCTCATGTGAGCACAACTGCTACATGTATGAGGACAAACATCGAAAATCTGAAAAAATGCAGATACCCCCCAAACTTGTTGAGTCGTGTGTGTGTGTGTGTGCGCGTGTGCGCGTGTGCAGCAGTGTCTTTCAGAAAGTTCGAGCTCTGCGTAGATTTGAATAAAGCAGGTGTGACGGTTGCTTAATGTGTGAAACTAACATAGTTACTCAGTTTGCAGAAGGTGATTTAGTCTTAATTAAATAGATGCTGAACAAGCAGTCATATCATAATCAACATAATGATGATGATGATGATGATGATGCATTTTGAGGATTAATTTTTTAATTAAATGTTTTCTTTCATCAAGTCTTAATATTCTGCTGATTTATAGACATTTATAGACACTGAATCCTGCTCTGCTGTCCATGGAAATATAAGGAGACCGTCTTTGTTTCTGAATGTGATACATGTCAAACATTTCTCTTTATTTCACTTCACATTTTGTTTCCTGTGTTATTTGGACTCATTTATTGCTGCTTAGTGGCTTAATAAAGACACTTGATGTTTATTTATAAAACGCAGGTGCTCAGCTGTCACCTGCTGTCTTTTTCACTTTGGTGCTCTCTCCCTGCTACACACACACACACAAACACAAACACACACACACTGACAAAAAAAGACTGACCTGAAAGATGGGATCATGGCAAAGCTGGAAACCTGGATGACAAGATGTGAATGCAACATTGTGGACAATCCCTACTCGTGCCCATCACCAAAACCAAGCAGCTAACCCACCATGGCGGCTGTGATCAGGGAGATGGAAAAGATGGAAGCCAGGAGGATGAACCAGCTCCGAACCATCCAAGGTGTACTCTCTGGCAGGAGTCTGGAATGTGGTGAACAACACTAGAGGCCAGTTTGAAGCCAGTTGCACAAAAGTCACCATGAAGTGTGGGATTTACCTAGGAGATGCTCTGTCTCCTGTGCTGTTCTGCCTGAACCCCCTCAGTAAGATCAATGGCTATGGATAGTAACCATAGAACAGAGTAATCGTTAGCCACCGCCTCTAGATGCTTAACACCGATCTGTAAGCCAAGAGTGAATGAGATGGATTGATTCTAGGGTCAGCGACATTGGAATGTCATCTGGATTGGAGAAGTCGAGTTGGATAGTAGTGAAGAGAGGATAGGTAGTCACCAGGTAAGAGCCTTGGTGCAGGCTGTGCAAAGATGCCCCTGAGACAATCCAGAACATAACAGGCGGAGGCAAGATGCAGGCACCCAGGGCATACGTGGTATGCCATAACCAAGTGTCTGGCATAGAGTACAGGAACATCTGT